ATGTGGTGCTGGGGATCGAACCGCGGTCCCTGTGCTTTGCCAAGCTTGTTTCAAGTAGGTGCTTTAGACCACTGAGCCATCTCTCCAGCCCCTGAGCCTTTCTTCTTATATTCATTTTAATGAGCCTAAAATTTTGTTTTCTGTTCTGGTGAAAATAATGCTCAAAGTTCAGTACAAAACAAGTTACATTTTGCCTCTGGACTGGAGGAGTGAGTGTTTTTGCTTTTTCTGTTTGTGTTCTTGGCAATTAAGTAGGAAGGACCAATTAACAAGCTGATATTCTTCATGTTCACTTGAAGTAATTGTTTTCTTGAAATGTTTTAAATAGCACGGAACATTAGGTGTATTCTTACTGCTTTTTTTCTTTTTTGGTGGAACCGGGGATTGAACTCAGGCCCTTGTGCTTGCCAGGAAAGCGCTTACTCCACTGAGCCATCTCTCCAGCCCCTCTTACTGCTTTTCAAAGTTTGGAACACTGCATGTCAAAATGAATTTAAGGCTGGGGAGATAGCTTAACCATCTGAGAACCTGCCTGGCAAGCGCAAGGACTCGAGTTCGTTCCCTAGTACCTCATTCTGTGCCAGTCCGACACCCCAAGCATGGTGGTGCACGCCTGTAATCCCAGGGATGGGAAGGCTGAGACAGGAGGATCACTGTAGGTCTGAACTGCATAGCCAGACCCTTTGTCAACAAAAATAAAAGCAAACACAAAACCCAAAAGGAATTTCAAATGGGGCACAGTCTTGGAGCTAAAGATCGCTCCTCAGTATTTGCTGCTTCGTATGTGTTTTGGGTTGGGCAAAGGAAGTGCTGGGCAGATGGGTCTACCTTTGAAAACTGGTCCGAGTCACGAGAGTAACACGCCGTTTTGTGCTCACAGGTGGGAAAGGAGAAGTTCCATAAATCCCAGCACTTCGGCATTTCCAACAGCGTGAGGATGCTGCTGAGCGAGGAGAAGCCCGGAATTGGTGGAGAACCGCTTCCCGGGCAGAAGGTGAAGACTAAATACAGCATCTATCCGAAAGGAGAAGGAAGTGAAGGACCCTCCTGGCTGGTTTTTAATAGACAGGTACGTTACTTGCATCGCCATCTTCAAGGTTTACATGGAGGATTGCGAGAATGAGAGGCTTCACTGTACACCCTAGTGCTAGTTTTTCATTTTCTTTTTGGCTTTCATACTTATCATTGCCTTTATTTGTAGTGTTTGCCCCTTTTATTATTTTATGTTTTGGTGGTTCTTGAGATAGGCTTTCCCTACACAGTTCGGGCTGGCCTTGAGCTCACTTTGTAGCCCCCAGGCTGGTCTTGAACTCGCAGAGATCCTCCTGCCTCAGCTTCCCGAATGCTGGGATTATAGGCGTGCACCACTACTCTCAGCCTAGTTTTTTCATGGGATGGGAAGATTTAAAATCTACTTACAGCAGTTTTGAAATACATTGTTATAAGCTCTAGTCCCTATGCTGTACAGTAGACCTCTTGAACTTACTTCTCTCTCTTTTTTTAAACTTATTTCTCCTAACTGAAATTTTATGTGCATTGACCTACACTGCTTCTTGGCTTGCCTTAGGCCAAAAGACAAACTTAAGAACAAAATTACTCTAAGCAAAGAAAAGCTATCTTTGCTTTGTATTGCTTGCAGAGTGCCAAGTACCCATCTTTCCTCTCTCATCTCACCCTCTGCACACAGGGTAATCTGCCCTTCTGTAGACCACGTGAGTCTGATCAGACAGTCACTTTCGCTTAGGGAGTTGCTATTTATTTAAGTGATTGTGTTAGGTTGTCAATGTGGCGTTAACACTAAGACAACAATATGCAATGTATTAATTATTGAAAATGTACTAGTAATCGGTTGTGAAACTGTCTCATTGCTATTTGTTTCTCAATAAAAATATTTTTTTAGGGCTGGTGAGATGCTCAGTGGTCTAAAGCACCTACTTAGAACAAGCTAAGCTAAGCAAAGCACAGGGACCGTGGTTCAATCCCCCAGCACCACATGCCAGCCAACCCCACCCCCTGGTGGGCTGAGCTGGCCACACACACACACACACACACACACACACACAAAATAAATAAATAAATAAAAAGGATCAGGCGTTGTTAAAAAAAAAAGAGTAAAAATAAAAATATTTTTTTTAAAAAAAGTGGCATTAAATAGAAACTGAAAAAGGCTGTGTGGCGCAGTGGTCGAGCACTTGCCTACTGTGCGCCAAGCCCCCGATTCATTCTCCAGCGGCACAAAACAAAACCTCAAAACATAACTAGAAAGATGCTTTCAATTCACTTCTCCATACTCGTGGTTTTTCATCTCTGAGGAATAAAGGGTGACAAGGCAAGAATTACAGAAGTGAGCTGGGTGTGGCGGTGCATACCTGTGATCCCAGCAGTGGGGAGATCGAGGCAGGAGGATTGTCTCAAGTTTGAGGACTACCTGGGCTACACAGGGAGACACTGTCTCAAGAAACAGAAAGGCCAGGGAGATAGTTCAGTAGAATAAGCGCTTGCCTGGCAAGCACAAGGTTGTGAGTTCAATCCCTGGTACCAAAAAAAAAAAAAAAAAAAAAAGAAGAAATAGAAAACAATAAAAAGAACTATAGAAGTGAAAAGGAAAGTTGCCAAGAGTCTGACTTGGTTTGAGTCAGGGTCTTGCTGTGTAGTCCAATGTGACCTTGAACTCTGCTTCAGCTTTTTAAATTTTTTTTTTAAATTTTATTTATTTATTTATGTGTGTGTGTGTGTGGCCAGCTCAGCCCACCAGGGGGCGGGGCTGGCTGGCATGTGGTGCTGGGGGATTGAACCGCGGTCCCTGTGCTTTGCTAAGCTTGTTCTAAGTAGGTGCTTTAGACCACTGAGCCATCTTACCAGCCCCCAATTTTTTTTAATTTTTAATTTTTATTTTTTTTTTAATTTTTTTTGGCGGCACCGGGGATTGAACTCAGGCCCTTGCGCTTGCCAGGGAAGCGCTTATTCCACTGAGTCATCTCCCTGGCCCCTGCTTCTGCTTTTGTTTTTGGAAACAGTGTAGGGATCTGCTGGTCTCTCAGTGTGATCCCTTGTACCCAGGGAGAGACTGGCCAGAATAAGGAAAAGATAGACAAGAAAGTAGGAGCTGGGTCAGGTGGTGGCCTGTCTGTCTGCTTGGACCCTCCTGACCAATAGTAAGGGCCTATATATATTTATTTATTTTGTATTTTAGGGAAGGGTCTACAGGGTGCTCAGGGTCTCACTACTAGATCGCACTTGTAGTGATGAGCTTGTTTACCGCCTCACAAGAGCTGGGATTACAGGGGTATGCCACCACACCCAGTCTTAGTTGTCCTCTCAGTGTGCCCTGGGGGCAAGGCTGGCACGGCAGGCCTGAGGATCAAACCCCTTGCCTTTGAGCCTGCTTGCGGGCGCTTTAATCCGCTGAGCTATTTGGCTGGCCCCAAGGGCCTTTATTTATACTTTTACAAAATTACCTTGCGACTCGTAGCCCACAGTGTCCAGGCAGGCTGTTCCTCTCAAGACTGAGGTAGCTTGACTGCTTTGGGCAGTGAGGCCTCATCCTGCCCTCCCACAGGATGAGAGATCGATTTCAGGATCAATTGTAGGATCAATTTCAGCCTCAGTGGCTCCCCACAAGACAGGGTCTCACTATGCAGTGTGGATTGGTCTTGAACTTGCTTATGTAGCCCAGGCTGGCCCCACACTCAGAGATCTGCTGGCCTCAGCCTCCCAAGTGCTGGGAGTACAGGCTTGCACCAGTATCCCTGTTCTAGGTCTGATTTTTTTTTTTTTTTAAATTTGTATGTCTACAAGTAACACGCACATATGTGCGCATGTCCACAGTTGAACAAAGGAATGTATGTTGATCTTTATTTTCAGTGCTAGTGACAAAACCCAGGGTCTGGAGCGTGTAGAGACCAGCTCTACTGCTGGGTTAAACCTACAGGTCTGGAGCAGCTTAGAAAGAAATTCCCGGTGACCAGTCATTTCCCATAAGGTTGCTGTGCGGAGATGCCGGGTTAGCCCTGTAGTATAGCCCTGTGTTCTGTTATCCAGAAAGCACTTGTTATCAGATTATTTTATCTTATTTTTAGATTATTTTAGATCCTATAATTAGAAAAAAAATTCAAGACTAGATACAGAATTCAAATCAGTATTCTAAGTTTACCTGTTATTCTTTTCATTTTTAATATCCTTTAACACTGATTGGTTGGCAAGACTTTGATTCAATTAAAATGTCCTCAAATACGATAGAAGTGAATTATGAGAGGTACATCCATTATAGCACGCACTTTTTTCTTTTTATGTGTTTGGTACAGGGTCTCACTACACAGCTTGGACTCATAGTGATCCTCCTGTGTTCAGCCTCCCCAGCTCTGGGATTACAGGGGTGCGCCACCACGCCCAGGCTTGGTCACCTTCTCAGCGCGCCTGGAGATGGGGCCCATGCGGCATGTGGTGCTGGGAATCAAACCCAGATCCCTGTGCTTGCCTAAGCAAGTGCTTAGTCCGCTGAGCTATCTCAATGGCCCAGCACACTTTTTGAAGCCGAGTTCAGATTACTTACAACAGCCGGGGAAATGGCTCAGTGGAATAAGCGCTTCCCTGGCAAGTGCAAGGGCCTGAGTTCAATC